GGGTCCCATTAACGTTTTGACCGGGTTTTTGACCGGCTTTTGGCCGGGTTTTGACCGGGCTTCTGTTTGGAACTACGTTTTTCATTTTGGGAGGGCGGGGGAGGGGGGGGCGGGGGAAGGGGGGGGGGGCGGAGGGGGAAAGGGGGATGAGGGGGGGGGGGGGATGGGCGCATGAGGGGGGGGGGGGGGGGTTGGAGTGAGGGAGGGTGGGGGGGGGGGGGGGGACAAGCAGGGGAGGGGAAGGGGGTGAGTGGAGGGAGGGGGTTTAAGTAAATTGAGAATTTGGGATTAATATACTTAAACTGAGCTTGTCAGCTGTTTAGACAAATAACCTGGGAAATTCAGAATGATACCACGTACAATTTCTATTTCTTTTGTCTTGAGGGTTTAGGGTTTAGGGTTTAGGGCTGAGGGCAAGTGCAGGGTGGAAGGGCAATAGCCCTGCAGTACTTGATTCGCGTTGGTTTTTTTTTCAGGCGTAGCCTCGCGCAGCACGCCTTCGGTCCACAGGGTCTCCCTCCCCCTCCCGCCCTCCCGCCCTCCCCCATCCGCGAAGGTTTGGGGTGTAGGGTTTCTACTGTTTGCTTAAGAATAAGAAACCCCAGAAAAGGCAAAATGTTCTTCCTTATAAGGGCAGCACGGATGTTAATCTTTGTTTTTTAGGGGTCGTAAGCAAATAGTAGGTTTAAAGCTGAAGGTTGAGGTTGTGCCGAGATAGTATGATGGTTTTGCTCCTGACTGAACACGCGAATCCTTGTAGATGTCGTTGTGAGAAGCAGCTCTAATCCCTAAGAAGGACCTGTATGATCCCTGAGAAGGACCTGTTAGTATGAGGGGGAGCATCCCAAGACGTGATGATCACCGTGACCTGATCCCGAATTGCATGTGCAGGAGGGGCGGGTGCCTCGGAGAGCGCAAAAGCGGAAGCGCCGGCAACCAACTTCCAGGCGGCAAGCACTTAGCAATGTGAGTTCTCCCAACCCCTAAGCCCTAAACCCTACACCCTAACCCTAAACCCTAAACACTAAACCCTCCCTGTCCCCTCAAACTTCACCGGCCCTGTATTGTAAGGGAGGCTCGCCGACCACAGGCCCCCATCAGTTCGATGTACCCACAGAGCCCAGTTTGTTTGAGGGTTTTAGGGTTTAGGGTTAAGGGTTAGGGTGTAGGGTTCAGGGTCCAGGATTCAGGGTCTAGGGTTTAGGCTTTAGGGTTTAGGGGCTCCCGCAAGGTTATTTCCAACTGAGCACTAGATGTCCCAAGTGCGCTAACATGTCCAACTGTCCAACCCCCCCCCCCCCCCCCCCCCCCATGCAGCTCGTGTTCAAGACTGGTGAGTTGGGACGTTACCCCTTATACTAGCAGTCCTTAGGGGGTTTAGGGTTTAGAGTTTAGGGTTTAGGTTTCAGGGTTTAGGGTTCAGGGTTCCCGATTAAGGAGCTGCTAGAAGAAAGGGGGAACATCCCAACTGATGAGGATGAGATGTCATCCGGGCCTCGGGCGCAGAGGAGCCAGTGACAGAAGGACCAACGGCCGAGCAGTGCAGGAAGGGTTTTAGGGTTTAGGGTTAAGGGTTTAGGGTTTGTAGAATTTATAGTGTTTGGGTCCCATTAACGTTTTTGACCGGGTTTTGACTGGGTTTTGACCGAAAGTTTTGAACGAAAGTTTTGACCGACAGTTTTGTTTTGGAAATTAGTTTTCGGGGAGCTCTCCATGATTCTTTTAGGGTGGATGCCTCCCGGGTGCAACTTGTATAGGGTTTGGGTCCCATTAACGTTTTGACCGGGTTTTTGACCGGGTTTTGACCGGGCTTCTGTTTTGGAACTACGGCTTTCATTTTGGGAGGGCGGGGGGGGGGGGGTGGGGGGGGGGGTGGTGAGGGGGGGTGGGGGGTGGCGGGGGGTGAGGGGGTGGGCGGTGAGGGGGGGAGGGAGTGAGCAACCGCTTTTATTCACGCACGAGCAGAGTTACTTTGGATGTGCCCTATTTTTTGGTTGGGGTGTCACTCTCTCTCGGTAACGAGATCGGGGCCGAACATCAAACGAGATCATGTTGTAGAATGAAGAGATTTATACTTGTACTTGTTTACTTGCATTTACTGCATACATAATCCTTATCTGTACCTATATTATATATATATATATATATAACTAAGCCTTTGTTTAGTTATATATACATAGAGACCATGTATAGTTGTGTGAAGGCTTTCGCATGCTTTCGCTAAACGATGAAGAGTTGGTCTCGCGTAGGCTATTGCTGGCAAAGGCTGCTCGCTGGGAACGGCGGCTGTGCTTTGAACCGCTTAGACTCTGAAGCCTTGGGTTTAGGGTTTAGGGTTTAGGGTTTAGGGTTTAGGGTTTAGGGTTTAGGGTTTAGGGTTTAGGGTTTAGGGTTTAGGTGAGGCTCAGCCGCTTCGGCCCAGGTTGGGGATTGAGGGGACGTGGGGTCTGGCGGGCCCGGAGATTGCTGCCGATCCCAAACGAGATCCAAACGTGATCAAAAAATTGCACGAAGGCAGCTAGGGAAGCCAGAGGGCTGTGGGAGGCACAAACACAAGGATTAGGGTTTAGGAGCTATTGATACAGGGCTGGAAGGTTTAGGGCCAGTTTAGGAGTGAAGTGTCTCCTGTTTAGTTGCTTTCCACGGAGGCAACAAGAGTACTGTGGCACGTCTTCGCAACAACTTGAGCCCTGCTCCCTAAACCCTAACCGTAAACGGGTGAAAATGACAGAGTTGCTCAGAGAAGCACTATGGGTTGCCGGGCGAAGGTCAAGGGCAACTATATCACTCACTACACACTCCAAGTGCTATTTGCTACTGAACGAGATCACCCCTTAAGACGACATTGGCCCGGAAGACGTGTTTTAAGGCAAACGAGATCAGGGGCCGAACGTTACAATAGGCTCATTGCGCCCGCCAGCAAATAAAATCCGACGCTCAATGTGTTTGGGTATAATATACTGAAACTCAGCTTGTCAGCTGTTTAGACAAATAACTTGGGAAATTCAGAATGATACCACGTACAATTTCTATTTATTTTGTCTTGCCTCCCTCCCCCCCCCCCTCCCCCCTTTTGTTTAATTGAGAATAAGAACCCCCAGAAAATGCAAAATGTTCTTCCTTATAAGGGTAGCACGGATTTTAATCTTTGTTTTTTAAGGTTTAGGTCGTGCCGAGATAGTATGATGGTAGAACGTGCGAATCCTTCTAGATAGCTGTTAGTATGAGGGGGAACATCCCAAAACATGATGATCACCGTGACCTGATCCCGAATTGCATGTGCAGGAGGGGCGGGTGCCTCGGAGAGCGCAAAAGCGGAAGCGCTGGTAAGCAATGTCCAGGCGGAAAACACTTAGCAACGTGAATTACCCTAAACCCTAAGCCCTACACCCTAAACCCGAAACCTAAACCCTAAACACTAAACCCTCCCTGTCCCCTCAAACTGCACCGGCCCTGTATTGTAATGGGGGCTCGCCGACCACAGGCCCACATCAGTTCGATGTACCCACAGAGACCAGTTGTTTGAGGATTTTAGGGTTAAGGGTTAGGGTGCAGGGTTCAGGGTTCAGGGTTCAGGGTTTAGGGTTTAGGGTTTTCGGGTGAGGGGCACAAGCAGCTTTGTGAGGCTTCGAAGCCTACATGTATCTGGTAAGGCGAAAGACTCCCTTCCCAAATTCGTCGACGCGTGTTGAGAAACCGCAGATGTTAGACTTTGCTCACCGAATATTCGAGCTTCGCCATCGGATATCTGGTCAAAGTTAGACTGTCACCCTTCACCCTAAACCCTAAACCCTAAACCCTAAACCCTAGACCCTAGACCCTAGACCCTAGACCCTAGACCCTCAACCCTAAACCCTAAACCCTAAACCCTAAACCCTAAACCCTAAACCCTAAACCCTAAACCTTAATCTTGCGTTCTTTTTCCGTGGTGCGCACGTGAGAGCCCTTCGTGAGGCCGCGAAGAAGAACATTCCTCGCAATCCTGGAAGCTTCGCGCATCCAGAGGCGGGGAGTCGGCCCAAGGGCGCGCTTTTTGGGTTGGGGGATGTTTGGGGTTTAGGGTTTAGGGTTTGGGGTTTAGGGTTTCGGGTTTAGGGTTTCGGGTTTAGAGCTTAGGGTTTAGGGTTTCGGGGTCTAGGGTTTCGGGTTTAGGGTTTAGAGCTTAGGGTTGAGGGTTTCGGGGCCGACTCATGGCATCTCGTTGTACCGTCAGGCAACTGGCTTTCCAGGGTAATCTTCTTCCCCTCATTGTGTTTCTCCTTTGTATGCCTTACACATAGTCCCTATGTAGCCCCTAAATAACCCCTAAGGTCCCCTTATAACGGGTCCCTCCTTCAGTCCTCTACTTCAAGTTCATGAGAGAGGCTCGAAACCATGCCCGCCGTTGCGACTCAAGTGTGTCTAAGACTAGGTAGTTGGGCCCATGCCCCATATGGTCACCTTTCCAGTTTGGGGTTTTCTTCTTTGGGGTTGCTATTATAAGGCGGCCCCTAGTGTTCAGGGCACCCAAAACGGGACCATCATCTTGAGAACTGTCCCTATCATTGCCATGGTTATCTGCTGAAGAATCCCTGAAGAAGTATTTTCCTAATCCCTGTACAAACTACCCAGAACACCTGTTCGAATTAAAGAAGCCCCTAAGTCATGCCAGGGGGCAACTTGCAAACCCTAAACCCTAGACCCTAGACCCTAGACCCTAGACCCTAGACCCTAGACCCGAAACCCTAAACCCGAAACCCTAAACCCTAAACCCTAAACCCTTGCAGCTTGCCAGGTGTGCCGCAAGCCCTGTGCCTCAGCCGATTTCGTGGGCTCAGGGTTTGTGTATATCACCTGTCTTCCAAGACCGGATGGCCCCCTGCCATGCAGGCTTTCTGTGGTTTCCCTAAACCCTAAACCCTAAACCCTAAACCCTAAACCCTAAACCGGTTTTGAGCTTGCAAGGTGTCTTCTTTCATGCCGGCCACTGCGACAACGGAGACGATTGCGGCTACTGTCACATGCTCCATGGGAAGCCCTCCATGCCAGATCGCAGGCAGGCCCATGCCTACTATAGGGGTCGGTTGGGGTTTAGGGTTCAGGGTGTAGGGTTTAGGGTTTAGGGTTTAGGGAATGAGTGATAGTATTCCCTTATAGCGTCCCTTTATAACTGTACTACAACAACCCCAAGACCCTATTCCAATTATTCAGGCCCCTATATGAGACGCCGTTCCTTCTTGCAATACAGCAAAGCACAAGAAGATCAACAAGCTAGTCAGCTAGATCCAAAGGCCAAGACCGAATGACTCAAACCATATCCCTAAACCCTAAGCCCTAAGACCTAAGACCTAAACCCTAACCCTAAACCCTAGACCCTAGACCCTAAACCCTGTTGAAAGGAAGCAGCCCAGCAGCAATGGGGTTGCCCTGGCCCAGCGCCGAACCAAAGAACCCTAAACAAACCCTTAATCAAGGAATAGGGTTTAGGGTTTAGGGGTTTAGGGTTTGGGGCCCACTGCCCCTTAGTGAAGGAATGAACTTTGAATCCTTCTTTGGACCCTGATAGACTTAAAGGTATCCTCCTCAAGGGGAGGCTCTATGGGGACAAAGACCTGAAGTAAGCAACAACTGCAGCTCAGCGCCGCTTGCCCAAACCCTGCATCCTTTAAGGGGTATAAGGAGGGACCCCTAGAAGGGACCCCTAATCTCATTCCCCTATAGAACCCCCATACATACCCTATATACCTAAGTAACCCCGAAATAACCCCCTGAAGAGCCCCTCAGGTCCCTTACAAGGGTCCCTCCTCTAGTCCCCTGCATCTTTTTTGGTAGGCCAGGTGCTCTGGCTCTCTGGCGTTTAGACTCAGTTTAGACTTTCGTCGGGTGGTTTGCTAGGTTGTTTTTGTTGGGACACCTGCTGTTTTCCTTATTTGGGTTTATAGACCCTAAACCCTAAACCCTAAACCCTATATATAATATAATATAAATACATAATATATATATATATATATATGTTGTTCAGAGAGTTGAAAGGCCAACCCAGTGTAGGGTTTTTGGTTTAGGTTCCTGATGCGGCCCTTGCCAGTGCAAGCGCATGCAGTACTGGTGGTAGCTTAAACCTTAAACCCCAAACACTAAACCAGGGTTTAGGGTTTAGGGTTTAGGGTTTAGGGTTCAAACCCAAATACCCAAGACCCTGAAGGCTAAACCGTTAGGGCTCCTTGCGAGGCAGCGGACCTTCCTCCGCAAGTTGCGCGCGACGGAGCTGCGCCCCAGCTTTCCTTAGATGGTGGTAGGGTTTAGGGTTTAGGGTTTAGGGTTTAGGGTTTAGGGTTTAGGGTTTAGGGTTTAGGGTTTAGGGTTTAGGGTTTAGGGTTTAGGGTTTAGGGTTTAGGGTTTAGGGTTTAGGGTTTCGGAGGTTCATGAGAATTTCTGGGTGAAGCTATACTTGCAACCCTAATTCGGGTACGGATAACCCTACTTAACCTAAACCCAACCCTACTTAACCTAAACCCAACCCTACTTAACCTAAACCCAAACCCTAAACCTCATTTTCGCTACCCATGAAACTCCAAGTATGGTTGGAAGGTTTGGGGGCCCGAAAGTCCCATAGTCCTAGTTTCCTGAAGTTTAGGGTTTAGGGTTTAGGTCATAGTTGAGAGTTGGGAGCAGCCCTGAGCTTGCCTTCAGGTTTAGGAGTTCGGGCCTTCCTTCGCTGCCAAGGATATGACTTCAGGCGCGAGCGAGAGCCCTTCCCTCAAGCCCCAACTGACAGACGTAGCCTTCCTAAGCCTAAACCTGAAGCCCTTAGCCCTAAGCCTCAAACCCTAAACACCCAAAAGTACTCGAGGCATGACTCATGCAGGGCAAAGTTAGTTACAGTCCAAGGTTGCACATCTTCCTTCCGCTGATGCGGTGCCATTGCGGCATGTGGTTCCCAGGGACTCAGAGACCCCTGAATTAAGGAATACCCCTCTTGAATCACAAAAAGGGGTTCCTTATGATGGCTTCAGGAGTATATGCCTTGCTGAAGGAGTATCAGGGTCTCTGGTGTTTTTTTTGCGCATGTCTCTGTGATGCCGCAGACAAGTATAGGGTTTAGGGTTTAGGGTTTAGGGTTTAGGATGCACTAGCGCACGGATCTGAAAGCAATGTCAGCACAACACCCTGTACTTGTACTTGGAGGTTCATGGGTACCTACTGTTGAAGGACGAAATCCTGCATCACGTTTATTATGTAGGTCATCCCTTCCAAACCTTGAATCTTAACATTGCTGTCCTTGCAATGCTTTGAAAGGGCACGTGCGTGACTGACCGAAATCCTGCACTATCCACGCGCGCGTGCAATATTTCGGATTTTGCAGGGTTAAGGTGTCTACAAACCAAGCCCCCAGACCTGAACCCCCTAAGCCGCCTAAGCGCCCCAAGCCCCCTGAACCCCCTAAACCCCCTAGGCCCCCTAACACCCCTAAACTCCTGAAACCCCTAAGCCCGCTAAGCCCCCTAAGCCCCTTAAGCCCCCTAAACCACCTAGGCCCCCTAAACCCCTAAGCCCCTTTCGCCCCCTTAGCTCCCTAAGACCCCCACGCCTCCGGAACCGGCCCCTCAAGCAAAAAGCATTAGAATCCATTTTAATACCCCAAGGTCGGAGACGCGGTCAAAATCAATTAAAATCGATTTTAAGACCTCGTCGTGCCTGATCAGGACACCCTGTTAGGCATGAAGATCGATTTTAATGGATATCCGACACGGGCCCGCCCAGAGGGAGATATTAAAGTTGCCCTAAATTACCCGAACCCCTAAACCCTAAACCCGAACCCCTAAACCCTAAACCCTAAATCCTAAATCCTAAACCCTAAACCTTTTATTTGACAACTGTAATCGAAATCCAGCGTCATCCTTCCCAGCCTGCAGGCGACCACCGGCAGAGCTAGTCAGATCAGACCCTTAAACCCTAAACCCTAAACCCTAAATTACTAAACCCTAAACCCTAAACCCTAAACCTCAACCTTTTTGTTTAGTATTCGTGGTTTGTGAGCCCATCGGATGTGTAAAGATCGCTTGCGGGAGTCTAGGGACAAAGGGTTTCAGGGTTTGAGGGGTTAAGGGTTTTACGGGTTTAAGGGTTCAAGAGTTCAAGGGTTTTGGGTTCAGGGTGGAAGCATTTTGCTACGACTACTACTATTACTACCATTACTAAATTACTACTATTACTACTAGTACTACCCTCAAGGTTGCGAGCCAGTCGGAGCGGCTTCTGGGATGAGGCCACGCGGGTGTTGGGCATCTTGGAAGCGTCTGTGTACCTTGGCGGCGGGAGACTGAAGCCACACAGCACGACTGGGAGGTTCATGGTACTTACTAACCACTTATAACTGGGCTTATATTGGGATAACCCCTATAAGGCCCTTTAGGGGTATTGCAAGTAGGGTTAGAAGTATAGTCATAATTGGTCAGTAAGTACCATGAACCTCCAAGTAAGTGGCCCATGTGCACTCCCCCCCACCTCCCCATGCAGAGTTTAGGGTTCACCTAACCCCACAAAGTATGTAAAGGAAAGGTTCATGCTATGGGCTCTGGGCGATGTTTGTACATGGTGTCAGTTTCGGATCACAACTTCAAGCCCTGCTGAGGCAAAAGGAGGGTCCGCCGAACCGAGCCAAGCTTTCCTGCGACGATGCAGACTCTCGCTTGGACTAAAGGGACCCTTATAAGAAGGGACCTTCGGGGTTATTTGAGGGTTATTTAGGGGCTACTTAGGTATGTAGGACTATATAAGGTATATACAGGGGTTCTATAGGGGCCCTGAACCCCAAATCCTAAACCTTAAACCCTAAACTCTAAACCCTAACTCTCGCTTGGACTTTATCTTCGACAAGGGCAGGCTTACATGCTAGTGTTGAAATCTGCTCAGTGCAGGCGCCCCACCCCCCCCCCCCCCCCCCCCCCCCCCCCCCCCCCCCCCCCGCACACGCACACACCCACACGCGCGCGCACACACACACAGAGGCACAGGCCCTGGCACTGGCACTGACAGTGACAATGACACTGACACTGACACTGACAGCATGCACGCACGCACAAACCTAAACCCTAAACAATAAACCCCACACCACAAATAGCTATCCCGGAACAGCTGAGGGGGGCGGGTGGGGGACCCATGAACCTCCACGTATATAAGCAGGCTTCGGTTTGAATTCTCGTTGCAACTCTCAGCTGGGGTTTAGGGCTTAGGGTTTAGGGTGTAGGGTTTTAGGGTTTTAGGGTTTTAGGGTTTTAGGGTTTTAGGGTTTTAGGGTTTTAGGGTTTTAGGGTTTTAGGGTTTTAGGGTTTTAGGGTTTTAGTGTTTTAGGGTTTTAGGGTTTTAGGGTTTTAGGGTTTTAGGGTTTTAGGGTTTTAGGGTTTTAGGGTTTTAGGGGTTTAGGGTTTAGGGTTTTAGGGTTTTAGGGTTTTAGGGTTTAGGGTTTTTAGGGTTTAGGGTTTAGGGCATAGGGCCCTGCACCATCCTGTGCGAGATAGGGTTTAGGGTTCAGGGTTGGTTTAGCTGCGTTGTTCATCGAGGGGTCTTCTTAAATTGGAATGGACTTCTCTCACGATTGGACTGCTTGTTGAACAACCCTCCTTGTACACAAGCCCCTGTTGTCTCCAACAACTTCCAACGAACAATTGAACATTCAGAATCGCTCAGAAATCTTTAACGTCTGCACATCTGAACCCTAAACCCCACTTGCAGAGAAGTGCCCTAAATAGGGCGAAAAGTATAGTTACCATACTTATATCCCTACGTATAACTACCCATGAACCAAGTAAACCCAGGAATATCTGAGGGAGATCCTGACGCGCATGTCCTTTGGCTCCTCTCCATGCATTCAGCGCCTATCGGGGCCTTGGGGTTGTGTTTTTGGCTTTAGGTTGGGGCCTAGGGTTTAGGCTGTAGGGTTCAGGGTTCAGGGTTCAGGGTTCAGGGTTTAGGGTTTAGGGTTTAGGGTTTAGGGTAGCGGCAATGGTGCAAGCCGATGTGTTCGGTCCGCGCAAAATTTCGGCGAGGTTCGGCTTTTGCATCTACAGCACTTGCAACCGAGCTCAATCCGTCCGAGCTGGGAAAACTGAGGCCCAGGCCCCCTCGCTTCCTGAGAGACTTAAGTAAAGCCTCCCCTAAACCCTAAACCCTAAACCCTAAACCCTAAACCCTAAACCCTAAACCCTAGTGGAGACATCCAGTTCCCCGATGTGACCCCCCATTCATTTAATCATCCTGCCCTTGATTTTGCCCACATGCTCTCTCCAGCTGCGAGGGGGTTCAGTCATTTATTTTTTCGAGTTCGTGCGTGGCTACGACAGACCATGAGAACAAACGTCTCTATTCATCCCTCTCTATACATACACGCACAACGAAGAAATCCTGATACTGGGGGCCTTTCAAAAGAAGGCCCAGTAGCAACTCGTTCTGAGTCGGAGACGGATCAGATGCATGGTCGGAGAACCCTGAACCCTAAACCCTAAACCCTAAACCCTCTCCAGTGTAAGGTCCCTGCATCTAGGAGTTGCAGGCCATAGGGATGGATTAGGGTCTGAGGGTAGTTTCATGGGCCCTTAATGTGGGCCCTATAGCCTCTTTAAAGGGTTCTGAAGTATGGGCCCTTGGGTTGTGTAGGGTAAATGAGGGGTCCCCTTTTCAGGGTCTATATTAAGGGACCATGAAACTCACCAAAGAGGGTTTCGTGTGCATGGTTGTGTTTTTGTGTTTTGTCGAGGCAGCTTGATGACGATGCTCCTCCACAACCTGGGGCCAAGCCACTTCGCTTGAAATGGCTTCGGGCATGCTCCTGACCTTCCCCGAACCCCAACCCCTAAACCCTAAACCCTAAACCCTAAACCCTAAACCCTAAACCTGGAAGGTAGGGTGCGAAGCACCCCAAGTAGGGTTACAAGTATAATTCCACCATTCTGACAACCTGACTTATAACTACCCGTGAACCTGCAAGGCAAAGGGAATGAATAGGGCCAGCTGCTATTTCTTCGCGCCCAGGCGCCAGGAGTGAATAGGGGGATGAACCTCTTATTTTTTTTTGCGCCCAGGCACAGCGAGTGCTCTTAAGCTTCCTAAATATCCCCTGCCAGCTGTTTTTTCTTCGCGCCCAGACACAGGGATTGAATAGCAACATTATCCTCGAAGCTACCACAATTGTCCCTGCCAGTGTTTTTTCCTCGCCCCCATACTACGAAGTACGTACTACTAGTACGACTAGTACTACTGCACTAGTACTACTAGTACTACGTACTACTAGTACTACTGGTACTACTGGTACTACTTGTACTGCTCGTACTACAAGTACTACCAGTACTACCTACTGCAACTACGACGACTACTATGACTACTACAACTGTTACGACTACTACGACTACTGCGACTACTACGACTATTCCGACTCCCACGACTACTACGCATACTACGACTACTACGACGACTACGACTGTCACTCCCACACCGCTAGCACTAACAAGAAGTAATGATATAGAGACAGCGGTAGAGGTAGTGGTTGTAGAGTAGCAGGAAGCAGCAGCAGGAACATCGGTGGTTTTTTTGAGTCTCCATGTATATTCAACTTGTACAATAAGGAACCATGTTTTTTTTTTGCCGGCAGGTGTGGTATAGGTCCGTAGCTATTGTTGATTTAGGCTTACGGGCTCAGGCTGCTTAAAGAAGCGCAGCTCAGGTACGCTGGTGACCAATGCTCGCCACGAATTGGAAACACTTCGGCAAATGCTGCCATCCCACGCTTAGTGAGGCTGGAGAAGCAGAAGAAAGAGCCGCGCCTGTTCGAAGTCGGCACATGTACCACCACGATGCCTTCGACCAGATACCCAGAGCAGTCCCAAAGGAATCCCAAAGGAAAGCGGGGCGCATTCAGTATGCTAAGCCTATATACTGTCTTGAGAATTTCCCAAGATTGGTCGGTTCCGCATGTGCCTGCACGCATCTGCGACAGTGCAAATCAGCAGTGGGTCGGCACCAAGGGGGAGCAGAGCCGAGTAGGCACCCGGGGTCGGGCAATGCCTTGTTGAAGCCGAAACTTGAGATCCGCGCATGTGCCGCAATGCAGCATGAAGTCCCGTCCTTTGAGCCCAGAATGGCTCTGCTCCACTCCATGCCGCTCCAAGGCTGGCAGATGAATTCTGCCTGTGTGTGACTCATGGAGTCTGCACAACGGCAATGGATAGCGGAAGAGCTGCGGATAAACTTCCGGCTCTTCTTTGCAACGGCTTCTTGCTTGTTTCTACTGATACACCTCCGGCTCTTCTTTGCAACTGTTTCTTGTTTGTTTATACTTACTTTGCCCCCTTAGTTTGTAGCCTTGCTCGTCCCGGCTGACAGAAGAGTTGGAGCTGTTGGCAGAGGCGGTGCCAATTGGCAAGAAGTTTTGCTTGAGGCAAACAGTAACCCCCTCTCCCTAATACTAACCCCCCGTTACCCCCTAATATTAAATACCCCAAATACTAAATACCCCCGATATACTATCACATAACCATAGGGGGGGGGGAATTAAATATTATTAGGGGGAGGGGATTACATGCTGCATCCCAATTTCTGGCATCCTGTCTGAAACATATATTCCGACCATCAAGTCGCACTCGCTGCTCGCGACCGGTGCTTTTTAAAGATGCACCCTTCTTCGCCCGGACCGGTGGCTGTTTAGGGTTTAGGGTTTAGGGTTTAGGGTTTAGGGTTTAGGGAAAACGCTAAACCCTAAACCCTAAAATAAATGTTGCATGGGTTCGCGGAAGAGCAGCGGATAAGCCTGCGTTCATTTACAGAGGGTCTTCCTTGTAGCGGTTTTTTTGTTTGTTCCTACTTGCTTTGCAGCTTTGCTGGTCCCGGCTGACACATGCAGAAAGAGCTCAGAAAAGTTCGACCTCTTGGCGCAGACAGTGCCAATGTGTAAGAAGCAGCCTTGCTTGAGGCAACGGCGATTGCCGTGGGCCCTGGCAAGCAATAAATATTCGTCCAGGCAGACATCGACAGAACCACACCTGGGCTCCTTTCGTATGCGAAGTGACGTGCCCGTCTAGGACACAGACTAGGCCCTTTTATTCCTGTTTGTTTATTGGGTTTAGGGTCCCTTGCTTAGTAGCCCAGTGGTACCCTTTGCCCTTTTTTTGGTTATGGGTTCCCCTATAACGTAACCAACCCAAAAAAAGGGTGCCCTTGTCATAATATGGTTACTGGGCTACTAAGCTTATAGTCCCCTTTTAAAACGAAAAAGGGGCACCCTTTTTTGACCTAGGTTACTCTTGGGTGACGTGCCTGTATTGGGCTTGTTGACTACTTGGAGGTTCATGGTACTTACTAACCACGTATAACTGGGCTTATCACCCTACTTATAATTGGGATAGCCCCTATAAGGCCCTTTAGGGGTATTAGAAGTAGGGTTATAAGTACAGCTATAATTGGTTAGTAAGTACCATCAACCTCCAAGTACGGAAGCCAGAAAGTACAGAATGATTGCCATTGCTGCACTTGCCTTCTGTGGGGTGTGGTTCTGACATGTTCTGAACTACGATAAGGGCCGGAATGATGACTAGTAGATTCCCTTCAGGTCCCTTTCTAATTATACTACAATAACCCTCCAAAACCCTATTCTAATTGTTCAGGCCCCTGAACTTGCAACCCTAAACCCTAAACCCTAAACCCTAAACCCTAAACCCTAAACCCTAAACCCTAAACCCTAAACCCTAAACCCTAAACCCTAAACCCTAAACCCTAAACCCTAAACCCTAAACCAAACCCCAAACCCCAAACCCCAAACCCCAAAACCCAAAACCCAAAACCCAAACCCCAAACCCCAAACCCCAAACCCCAAAACCCAAAACCCAAAACCCTATTCTAATTATTCAGGCCCCTATACGACACATGTTCATGCGTGGGATGGCGGAGGATGGCGTGAAGGGAGTCCTACACGCCCCAAAACCTACACTTTGCGGGTTTAGGGTTTAGGGTTTAGGGTTTAGGGTTGAGGGTTGAGGGTTTAGGGTTTAGGGTTTAGGGTTTAGGGTACCTTCCGTTGGGAACCTACTTGCCAGTTGTTTCTATGCAGGGGTTAGGGTTTTAGGCTTTAGGGTTTGGGGATGTAGGGAGTGTATACTTAGAGGTTCATGGGTAGCAATATGCAGGGTTTATAAGTGCCCTAAATATGCGGTTAGAAGTATAGTTACCCTGCTTATCGCCCTACTTCTAACTAGCCAAAAAACCCTCCAAGTACGACCTGAAGAGAGATCGAAACTGGGACGCCGATACCCTTTCCATCCTCTGCTTAGCCCTTGGCAGAGAAAGCGGGCTTCGAGCTTAGTTAGACCTGTGCGGCTTCGGCTGCAACTCCATTCATGCTAGGGAGTTAAGCGCTCTATATATCCTACAAGGTTTAGGGTTTAGGGTTTAGGCTCTTTACTCTTTACTAGGTGGGACTTTAGTACAACTTTATCACTTTATGAGTTTAGGGTTCCTCTAGTTTCATATTAATGGAGCCAAAAGTTAAACTAAAGAGCAGCCAAGCATAGGAACCAAGGGGGGGGGGGGGGGTAGTATAGACTGGGGTAGTACGGGAACCCATGATTCATCATCCGGAAAATGAAGGGCTCTTGTTGAGGGGCCCCTCGACATGTCCAGTGAAGTCTCCAGTCTATGTCGAAGCCTGCGCAGCATCATTTATTTTTCAAGAGCGACATCGTTTTTGTTTCACTGAGAGCAGGGCTGCGCATCTTGCGGCATGCCGCATGGAATGGCTCAGCATAGAACGCATCCTTGGCCGAGAATTCCCCTGAAACCCTAGCGATTTTTTCAATCTAACCCCGAATCCCTAAACCCTAAACCCTAAACCCTCAATCCTTAACAGCACAGTCGGTGCGTTGTAGCCATCCACAGCTCTGTGAGGCAGCTTTTGAACTTGGAGTTTCCGGGTTTAGGGTTTAGGGTTTAGGGTTTAGGGTTTAGGGTTTAGGGTTTAGGGTTTAGGGACTGAAGCCTGCCTGACCATGAAGGTCAAAGGCAGGGCTGAGGTTTTGGGGGAGCGACTCCCATTCCCGGGAGCGACTCCTGTTCAACGCAGCTGCATTCCTTACGCGCTCAACCCAGGCAATCACGTAGGGTTCAGGCTTGGCGTTCCTGTGTCAGGATAAAGTACAAGGGCTGGCAACATGACATGAGGCACCCCTAAACCCCAAACCCTAAACCCTAAACCCTAAATCGCCACTTCCTGTCAAGTTCGGGTTGGAGCTTGAGGATGGTCTCAGGTGAGCAACATGGTCGAGCAGAACCCCATGAAGCATCATGCAATCCGACAGTTGACTGCTGGCGGCCAAATGGTACACAAACAAAGCCACCTGCTGAAAAAAAGTATATGCATATGTGCAAGAGTCTCTGAAGATCCGTTCCGCATCTCATCACTTAGGGGTTTAGGGTTGGGGGTTTAGGGGTTTAGGGTTTCGGGTTTCGGGTTTGGGGTTTCGGGTTTAGGGTTTAGGGTTTAGGGAGGGGTTGCCCTTAAACCCTAAGTCCTAAGCCCGAAGTTCTAAACCCTGGGCCCTAAGATTAGCTAGGCAGGCCCTTGGAGTATTCCCCCCCAAACATGCACTTATAAGGGCAATCTAGGCGTTATTATCTCATGTCTTTGTTGGATTCTTTAGCACATAGTAGATAGCAGGAACAAGGTGAACAGATGAGGGTTTAAGGCTGTATTAAGATTCACCCTGTACTGTACCCTAAAACCTAAACCCTAAACCCTAAACCCTAAACCCTAAAGCCTAAACCGCATGCTTGCAGTGAGGCAGCCGCTGAAACTCAGCGGGCCCCAGCCTCAGCAGTCAAAACTTCAACCCTGAACCCTAAACCCTGAATAGGGTTTAGGGTTTAGGGCTTAGGGGGTTTGGGGTAATTACGGGGTTTGTCTAAAAAAAGTTGCATGGTCCCTGGAATATGGCACTTTACCTTCTTTGAAGGGTTCTGAAGTATGGGGGGCCCCTTGGGGTTCATATAGCATATAAGGGCATATCAGGATTTCCCAAGTAAGGGCCCGTATTCAGGGACCATGTAACAACGCCAAGGGTCCATGTACCTCGCTACTCTACACGGTGGGGCCCTAGGTCCCTATATAGGAAGTTAAGACCCAAGTAGTCCCGTTTCTGGTACATGGACCCTCAGGGCTAGCCTAAGGGTTTGGGGTTTGAGATTTAGGGTTTAGGGTTTAGGGTTTAGGTTTAGGGTTTAGGGTTTAGGGTTTAGGGTTTGAAGTTTGGGGTTTGGGGTCTTGCTGGATGGCTCAGCTAGTTCAGGGTTTCGGTTTTGCCTGAAAGGGGGCCCACCCGAATCGGCCCAAATCTTCCCCCCTTAGCTGGGAGCTTAGGGTGTATAGGGGTGAGGCGCTGAGGGGCTTAGGTTACATTATCCTTCAAGTAAGCAACTTGGGGAGAAAGAGTAGGCAAAATGATGTGCGACTCGTTGACTCAAGTACCAGAGCCTGCAAGTTTCATTCCGCATGGCATGTTCAGGTCTGCAACGTTGGCGTTCGAGCTTTCAAAGCCCTGAAATGGCGTCTTCAGCGGGTGTCATGATGCTTGCAGATCGCACGCATAACTGGCAAACAAGCACCAAACAGCTGCGTTTCTTGGCGTCAGGCCCACATTATCATTGAGGTGGATATGAAAGGAGCGCACTATTCTCCTCTGTGACTGATTACTTGCGCGACTAGCAATCATCCCCCTTTGCCTGAGTTGCAAGAAGCTAGAGATATT